GTATCTTGGTTTCAGAATATTTATTTGAGGAATACATCATACTGGCAGGTGCCCTAGAGATATACATTCTTCCATTTGGAAGAGTATTATTGTTGTGAGAGACATCATTAAAGTTAATTGTAAATTCAGAATTGGGGATGGCAGGAAGATTAAGTTCTTTCTGGATCCTTGGTATGACGGGAAGCTGGTCTCAGAGGTTTTTTTTTTTTTTTTTTTATAAGTAAGATTTTATAAAAAAATGCTCTAAAAAGGGGAGCGAAACCCAACGGAACAAAAGGAACAAAAAGGCCAAAGGGTTCCTTAGACCTTCAGAGAGGCCAAAAAAATAATAATATCCTCCATAGATCTATAATCTCTCCCTGAAACCTAACAAAAAAGAGTAGAAATAACAGAAAACTTAAACAAAGAAACAGGCTTCTTTTTCCTGTCAAAATATCTCCTATTTCTCTCAAGCCAAATACACCACCAGATACAAAGTAGCGTAGCCCTCCAAGCATTCCTAATGCCAGCCCCAACAGAGATGCCTCTCCAAGCCTCAATCAACCCTCTAGAGGAAAAGGGCATGGCCCAGTGGACCCCAAATAAACGAAGCATCAGATCCCAACAATCTCTGGCCATGCTGCAATGTAACGGGAGGTGATCTACAGTCTCCTCATTACACAAACACATGTACAATGATTAACCACCACCTGATTCCTCCTCCTCAAATTATCCTGGGTTAAAATCTTACCCAGAACAGAGGTCCAAGCAAAAAAGGTAACCTTGCGGGGAGCCTTGGACCGCCAAATAGACTTCCAAGGGATGAGATCTCCATGACCAACCGAAAGGCATCTGAAAAAGAACCTAACCTCAAAACGGCCATGCGAGGAAGGAATCCAGAACCACCAATCCGATCCCCCAAAAGAAATCACCGGACTGTACAATAGCTCCAGAAAACGAGAAACATCCTCGATCTCCCAATCCTGAAAATGCCTCCTGAATTGAACATTCCAAGACAGTCTCCCGTTATCAAGATGATAACAGTTAACAACCATGGCCTGTCGATGAGAGGCAATCCTATAAAGCCGAGGGAACGCGAGAGCAAAAGGAAGATCCCCACACCAGAGATCCATCTAGAAACTAATCCTCCTTCCATCTTTAACACGAAAACGAATATGCTTGCAAAAATCATCCCAACCCCTCCGAATGAAATGCCAAACTCCCACCCCCCTTGGACCACGCAACTCCAGGGAGCACCACCCACCACGACTTCCCCCAAATTTGCTAGCAATAACTTTCCTCCATAACCAATGCCTCTCGATCCCAAACCTCCAAAGCCATTTACCGAGAAGAGCCTTATTAAACGGCAACAACCTCCGAAACCCTAAGCCTCCAAACCAAATTGGACGGCACACTTGATCCCATCGAACCAAGTGAAATTTGAACTCATCTCCTTTGCGCCCCCCCCCCCCCCCCCCCCCCCCAAAGGAAGTTGCACTGCAATCTTTCAATTCTCTCAGCCACTGAAGCAGGAATATGAAACAGAGACATGAAGTATGTAGGAAGGCTAGAAAGGGTGCTCTTAATCAGGGTAACCCTTACCCCCTTAGACAGGTACTACTTTTTCCAACCCGCCAACCTCTTCTCGACTCTGTCCACAACCGGATCCCAGCTCCCCACACATCTCGAGGGGGCTCCCAAAGGCAATCCTAAATAAGAAATGGGAAAGGAGCAGTGCAGCAACCAAGGATGTGAGCAAACAACTCAATCTCCGGAACATCCCCAACAGGAACAAGAATACTCTTTCTAACATTAACCTTAAGGCCAGAAACAACTTGAAACCAAATCAGAACGCATCTCAAATACCTCAGCTGGAACGCATCCGCATCACAAAATACGATAGTGTCATCTGCAAACATCAAATGAGAAACCTCCAATTGACAAGCACCATCCCTACCCACCCGAAAGCCTCTCAAAAAACCCAGCTCCACAGCCCTTTTAAGCAATCTACTAAGAGCCTCCATCACAAAAAGGAACAGGAAAGGGGAGAGCGGATCCCCTTATCTCAAACCCCTCGAGCTAGAGAAGAAACCCGTCGGCGCTCCTTTCACAAGGACAGAGAAATGAGCGCTAGAGATGCAAAAAAGAATCCATCTCCTCCACCGCCCACCGAATCCCATCCTCTCTAACAAGTAGAGAAGGAAACTCCAGCTCACATGATCGTATGCCTTTTCAATATCTAGCTTACAAAGAACACCCGGAACACCACTACTCAAACGGGAATCAACACATTCACTAGCAATGAGAACAGAATCCAAAATCTGCCGACCTCCCACAAACCATCACCTTTTCAACCTAGAAGCCAAGACTTTCATAATTAACTTGTAAAAGCATCCCACCAAACTAATAGGACGGAAGTCTCTGACATCCAATGCCTTTCCCTTTTTCGGAATAAGAACAATAAAAGTTGCATTCAAACTTTTCTCAAAAGAGCCCTGAGCATGGAAGGCATGAAAAGAGCCCATAACCTCCTCCCGAACCACCTCCCAACACTCCAAAAGGAACCTCATAGTAAAACCATCCGGCCCAGGAGCTTTATCCCCATTGCAGCTCTTCAGAGCAGAGAGAACTTCCTCTTCTGAAAAAGGCTCTTCCAATACAGAGCCCTCCTCTCCCAAAATAGAATCAAAATGAAGTCCATCAAGCAAAAGACGCCAATCAGCTGACTCAGTGAACAAAGTCGCAAAGTACTCACCCCATCCACCCTAATCCTCCCAATGTGGTTGCTCCTTTTGTGAACATTAACAAGTTTATGAAAGAATTTCTCAGAGGTTTTTAATCATAGGGTTTTATCTCATCTTAGCAGAAATAGGCAGAGAAATGTAGGACATTTTATTGAAGCATGTAGTTGGGATGGGAGTAAATTTGATAATATTACTAATGGGTTTCTCCAATTTATTATGCAGTTCCAAATTATGGGTGGTGAGGATAAAATAGAGTGGCAGTCCAAGGAGTTTACATTTAAGGATGCCTGGAATGCTTGTAGAATCAGAAGAAACGAAGTTTTTTTGGGCTGGATTGTGTAGGAATGGGGGAAGGCCAAGATGGTCTTCTCATTCAGTTTTGGTGTTGCAGAATGGTATTCTTACAAGTGCGTATTTACCAAAAAAGGGGTGTGAGTTTAGTATCCAGATGCTGGTTGTGCTACAAGGAGAATGAAGATGTGGATCACCTGTTTTGCTGCTGTGATTTTACTTGGTAGGTTTGGCTGGAGTTAGCTGCTATTTGTCATTGGCAGTTACAGAGATATCAAACACTACAAGGAATGGCTGAAGTTTTGTCCAGAGGTTTAAAGTGAATAATATCATAAATAAATTATGCAATTTGGTTTTTACAGCTGCTTTGTACTTCGTTTAGAAGGAAAGGAATGACAGGTTACATAATGACAAGTTTTCTAGTCCAAAGGAGTTAGCTAAATGTATTATGTGGGAGGTTCTTGATATTCTAGGCATATGCTTGCAAGATGTAATCTTGATGTTTTCCTAGTTTAGGTTTTTCCCCTATGATGTTTTTGTAGCATATTGTTTATATTAATGAAAATTTCTTTTATTTAGGAAAAAAATTTGACATGCCAACGTATCATGTTGTATCGTGTCCGTGCTACATACCTAAAGAGTCAATGATGAATTCCAGACCACCTATCAGTTGTAATAACCACACAGAACACTCCATGACGAATGGCCTTTTCAACTAATCTATCATTATTCATATCGATTTCAATGTTTTTTTTTTTTCATTATTTCTTTTCTGTTAAAGTAAATGACATGGTAATTAATAAGGAGAAAAATAAAATTTTGATTTCATAATTGCTTCTTTAGATGAGCAAGGTCTGTGCTCTTACTGAATCACAAATTAAAAGTCCATTTCTTTTTCTTTCACTTTTTGTCCCCTATAATAAATATTCACGTAATTATAATATTTTTATGTTTTAGGGGCTAAAAACTCAAAACAGGAATTAGTATAAGTATTTAATTCCAAATTTTTTATTTTTTTTTATTTTAACACAGACAAGAAACATGTTCACATATTTTTAACACAGACAAGAAACATGTTCACATACTTACATTTTCATAAATAAATTTACCACACAACAAAAGCTAGCGTAGAAAGAAATCAAATACTTTTTAGGTATAGGACCAAAGGACGCACATGTTTTCTACTTTGCCCATCCCATCACATATCAAGAATTTTATAGAAAAATTTTACTATTTTTAAAATTTTTTTATAGCGCCCGAGCTTTATAGAAATTGACATAATTTAATGCTTAAAATGTTGTAATTCGATAATATCTCTTATATCTCCAAAACTGGATGTCCACCTATCATGAGAGAGGTAAAATGAGTGTCTTAGTTATTCATTATAAAAGGAAGAAGAATTTAGTTATTTATTTATTTTTTTTTGCCTAAAATAGAACATGTACGTGTTTAACAATCTTACACGTTGAATATCTTGAATTCCATCATGGGTGTATGAGTTTTTTTGTCACAAAAAAAAATAATAATAATAATGTTGTTTTTGTACAGGTCGGTGATGGGTCATTTTCATCCTATATCAATGTTCTAGTCTTTGTTTTATTCTAATAAAAGCATTAGAGGATAGTGAGTAATAATGACCTACCAAGACAAGCACGATAGATCTTTAAATAAGTGATTCAAATCTACTGATTTTACCACATGGATGGACCAACTTCAACCACACACGTTTAGGAATTGAAGTTTGGATAAACACTTAAATAACTTGTGAAATATAATAATACAGATTAATGCTGCTTTTGAGATAGGGAGAAAAATTAGTTGAAATTCTGAATTAATTTTTTTTTCGATTCTAATTTTAAAAATTTTTGGAAAGTTAAAAAATAGGAATAGTGAGAGAATGAAGGATTTATTTTATTCATTTATATAAATAAATAAATAAAATTAAAAAAATCAGAAAGAGTGTTCTCATTATTAAAAAACTAGTACCTGGTGACACCACCAAGTATGAAGGTATAAGCTGGGGTAAGATTGGACATTGCTGAAGCCAGAGTTGGGGAGCTCAACCTAATCCCAGTAAAAGTAAACACCTGCAAACAACCTCTGCCAAACAAAAAAATTAAAAAAAAAATTTAATTAAATTTAAATTACACTATTATAAAGTTGCATACAAATATATATATATATATATAAATAAATTATGTACGTATATGCATACCCGACAATGCCAATAAGGATGATTCTGCAGAGTATGGAGAAGGTGAGTCTAGGTGGAGGAGATCTTATTCTGTAAATGAATAATAATATTATAAATTAAAAGAGAAAAAAAAAAAAAAAAAAGTCTCAATTTAAGTATAGATGAAGATGAATGAATTTATGATTCAAGAACCTGTGATAGATGAAGGTTAAAGGAGCCAGGAAGAGAATTGCAAGGGCATTTTGGTACAAAACAAAGATTAGGTTGCTCATTCCACTTCTCATTGCTGCTTTGCTTAAGGTGTTTAATCCCACCTCCAAGCTCTCCGTACCCAACAGCACTCCTATAATCCCTAAATTCCACATCTCTCTCTCTCAACACAACTACTATCAACACACACTCTCTAGTCTCGTATATATATTAGTTACTATGAAGTATGAACACACACCCTCTCTCTCTCTCTCTCTATCTATATATATATATATGTATATATGACTTTCTCATATGCACAGTCCACTTAAGATGGTGGGGCAATCACGGTTTGGACTGAGAGTCATTATTTTTCTGCATTCTTCATTGGTTGAGCAATAAAGAAGTGAAACACGCAACGTGGATGATAGTGACTTTGTCGGTATGAGACAATTTTTTTTTGTTATCTTTTATATTATTTATTATTAAAAATATTGATTTCTGGCTTATTTGTTGTTGAGTCCAATCTATTATTGACAAATTTAGCACAAAAATATCTTGAATCAAAGTAGCTACGCGGGACGCTCTTCGGCGGATTATATAAGTTAAGAAATTTAATTATAAAAAACTACTAAATAAAATAATAATAATAATAATAATAATAATAATCCGAATTCGTTTAGTCTTCGATGCCTTTACTGAAGTCTGAAGTAACTATCCAACAAAGAAGCCTCCAAAAGTTGTTCCAAAGAGTGAAGTAGGACGATCCGCTTGAAATTAATTTTCTGATTTGTGTTTTTTGGGCTCTGGTCCACACTTGTACCAGGCCTCACAGATTCTACTATGATCTGGTTCTGAAATTGATCTGGGCAGTAAATAAAATGTCTGGTTCTGGGATAGGATGGGATTTAATACTGAACTGGGCCAAACAAAATAATTCCAACTTGTAACCAAATCTGGGCTTTTCTTCTGTTTTTTTATAAACTCTAGGCTGGGCTGGTTGTCACTAAAGCTGTAACGCAACGGAACTAAGCAAAGTTTAACCAAATTTGGGTTGGAGCGGCTGAGTTTGGATCACATTGAAACTTTCTGAATCAGGCTAAATCTGACTTTAATTTAGATTTGAGTTTGGTCAAAGGTGGTTTATAAGGAAACAAAATATATCCTTTCTAACGTAGCTGAAGAAAGGGAAGAGAAATAAATTTCACTGAGATAACACATAGCAAAAGCTCAAACAAGATAATAAACTGAGTTTAACTTTTCAAAAAAAAAAGAAAAAAAAAGGAAACAATAAAATTTTTCATTCCCCATTTTGCTTCATACTTCAAATATATATATCTATATATGTGTGTGTGTATAGACACACACTACTATTAAATGTGCAAAGAGTTTCAGTATTTATTTATTTATATAAAAAAATATTTATTAATTGATATAAAAAAAATTTCTATAAAACTCTAAAAATTACCTAATAAAATCAGTAACAATAAAATATTTATTAATTGAAATAAAAAGAATAGTTATTTTTTATGGATAACTATCACAGTATAAGCGGCCTATTAATCATCCTATTAATCCAAGAAGTCTATAAATAGAGGAATGGGTACTGAAATTGAGAATTCTAGAAATTTAGAATTTCAGAGTAAAATACAGAAGCTCAGTATTTATTTATATATATAAAAATATATTTCTTAATTGATATAAAAAGAGTTTTTATGCATACTATTATTAAATGTGCAAGGAGTTTCAGTATTTAAGTATTTATTTATTTATTTAAAAAAAATATTTATTAATTGATATGAAAATAGTTTTTATAAAAAATAATAATAATAAAAGCTCTATAAAAATCAAAAATCTACTTAGTAAAATTTAAATTAACCCATTTATCTATTTATTATTGTGAATTTTTTTATAAAAGAAAATCTAATTAGACAAGAATTATTAATATATAAAATATTTATTAATTGATATATAAAATAAAATAATTTTTCTAAAATTCTACCACAAATTAACTTTTATTATGATTTTCTTAATAAAATTAAATCTAATTAGACAAGGATATATTTAAAGAAAATAAAATATAACCTAGGGTCTTTAAAAAAAACCACAAACTCCATATAATAAATTTTTATATCAATTTCAATCTAATAATTGATTAGTTCAATTGAATTTCTATTTTAAAATTTAATTAAAAATTAATATAATTGAATTTCTATTGTAAATTTAAAATTATATTAAATTTCAAATTACCTAGTAAAATTCAAATTACAAATTACAAATTACAAATTACCTAATAAAATTCAAATCTGTACTATTATTTATATATATATATTTTAAAATATTAACTAATAAAATTTAAATTACAAATTACCTAAAAAAATTCAAATTACCAAAAAGAATTTATTACTTTGCTAAACTCAAATATTCCAGTATTAAAATTAAAAATTTTATTAATTAATAAAAAAATAAAATATTAATATATCAATATTAATATAAAAACTTAAAAAAATTTATTACTTAACAAAACTCAAACTCAAAATATTCCGGATGAGATCTAAAATTTCAAAATGTAAGGAAGAGTTGAAGTAGTGGAGCAAGAGAAAGCGATGGAATTCAGGAAAATTGATTCGAGAAACTGAGGAGGACCTGAAGAAGCTTCATCAGAGTAGTAGTTTTGATGCAAACAAAGCTAATGAGGTTAGTAAAAATTTAGAGAATTTGTGGAAAAGCGAGAAGATGTTTTGGAAACAAAAGTCCAAGGTTCAATGGCTTAAAGAAGGCGATAAAAATTCGAAGTTTTTTCATGCTAAAACGCAGCAGAGAAGGAAGAGGAATCCTATTTCTGGACTTGAAAATTCTAAAGGCGTTTGGTGTGAGGATGATCATCAGGTTTGTCATATCATACTGACTTATTTCCAAGATCTGTATAAACCAGAGCAAGATTATGATTTCAATAATTTCCTTCAAGCTACCACTTCGCTTATTTTAGAGGTGGACAATTTGATGAGATTGGGTACAGAAGAGGAGTTAAAGGATGCTTTATTTGCTATGGATTCTCTGAAGGCTCCAGGACCTGATGGTTTCTCTCCTTTATTTTTTCAACGGTATTGGGGTTTGGTTAAGGATGATATTTTGAGAGCTTTTAATGATTTTCTAAGCTCAGGGAGTTTACTTAAATGTTTGAATCATACTAACCTCGTTCTTATCCCTAAAGTGAAAAGTCCAACCAAAGTGTTACAATTTAGACCTATTGCGTTATGCAATGTGGTTTATAAAATATTTTCCAAAACGTTGGCAAATAGATTGAAACCTTTGCTTGAGAAGGTCATTGATGCTCACCAATGTGCTTTTGTGCCAAATCGACTTATTTTTTATAGCATTTTAATGGCTCATGAGATTGTACATTTTCTGAAACATAAAGGGGGGGGGGGGGGGGGGGGGGGGGCGGAGAGGACAAGTTTGTTGCCTTGAAATTGGACATTAGTAAAGCCTATGATAGGGTTGAGTGGAATTATTTGTTAGCAATTCTGGAGAGGATGGGCTTTGCAAAGGAATGGGTGCAGTTAATTAAAACTTGTTTGGCTACTGTCAGTTACTCAGTGTTGTTGAATGGCAGTCCCCATGGGATGTTTATCCCTTCTCGAGGTTTGAGACAAGGAGATCCTTTATCCCCTTATCTTTTTCTCTTGTGTGCCCAAGGTCTCTCTAATATTCTGCATGCTGAATTATCACAAGGTTCCCTCTCTGGAGTTCAAATTTGTCATCGAGCTCCCACAATCTCTCATCTTTTTTTTTTTTGCAGACGATTGTCTCCTTTTTTGCAAGGCTGAGACTGAAGAAGTTCAACGATTGGCAGAGATATTGAAGGAGTATGAATTGGCATCCGGCCAAGCTATTAATATGGATAAATCAGCATTATTTTTCAGCAAGAACACTCCTCTTTCAGATAGAGATTATATCCGCACAATTCTTGGGGTTTCCAGAGATGGTATGAATGAAAAATATTTAGGTCTTCCATCAGTTGTGGGAAGATCTAAATCTAAAGTTTTTGCCTATATTGAAAGGAAGATTTCTGCTAAAGTTAAAGGGTGGCAAGGAGAATTTTTATCGACTAGAGGGAAGGAAACAATGGTGAAAAGTGTACTTCAGGCTATTCCAGCTTATACAATGTCATGCTTCAAGGTGTCTCACAAAATTTGTAATACGCTAAAGAGAAATATTTCCCAGTTCTGGTGGAGTGGTAATCTGGAGAAACAAAAAATTCATTGGGCTAGCTGGAAGAAATTGATAGAGAATAAAGCAGAACGGGGGTTGGGATTTAAAGACATGGAAGCTTTCAATACAGCTTTGTTAGCAAAACAAGCATGGAGTCTACAAGTGGAACGGAAAGGTTTGTTTTTTCAAATTTATAAAAGTAGATATTTCCCTCATTGTGATTTTCTCAGAGCTTAAAAAGGTTCAAATCCTTCATGGGCCTGGCAAAGTTTTCTCTCAGCCAGAAAAGTGATTGAGAATGGGCTGGCATGGAAGATTGCAAATGGTCAAAGTGTTAGAATTTGGGAGGACAAGTGGATTCCTGATAAAAACAATTCTACTCTTTGTACTCCCGAACCTTCTAATTTTAGCATTTACAGAGTAGTTGATTTGGTGGATCAATCTATAGGAGGATGGAATGAGTTCTTGATTAAACAGATTTTTAAAGAAGAAGATTGGAAAAGAATTTTACAGATCCAATTGCGGGTTACAGAAGGAGTGCATAAACATGGTGGTTTTTTTTCAGCAAATGGCTCTTTTAGTGTAAAATCTGCATATCAGGTTGCGCTTAAGTTAAAAAGAAGTGGGATGCGGCATGCCAATAGAGGTGAATGTGGCACAAGTGGGATAGAAGAACGTCAACAGTAGAGGAAACATCTATGGAAGTTGAAGGTTATGCCAAAAATTAAACATTTCCTTTGGCTTTGTTTAAATGAGGATGTGGCTGTCCTAGAAAGTTTAGGCAGGAGGAAGATGATGGATGATATTATATGTAAAGTATGTGGGTTGGAACCTGAATTAGTTAGTCATCTTCTCTATAGGTGTCCAAGAGCCAAGTTGGTTTGGAAGCTTTCTAAGCTTAGATTAGATGGGGAGGAAGTTGGCCATGGACAGTGGGATAGATGGTGGAGATCAAAAATGGAGAATTGGTCAGGCTCAAGTGAGGAGTACTCGATAAAAAGTATGGTTACTTTTCTTTGTTGGCAGATTTGGAAGGCGCGTAATGCTTGGGTGTTTGAGCAAAAATGGTGGGATGCAATGGAGATAGTTAGAATTGGAGAAGCTCACTGTTTTGAATTTCTAAATTGTAATGTTGCTCCTTTTGCTACTATGAGATCACACTGTACAGGGCAAAACAGTTATGAGAATCCTGTTAGGTGGCAAGCTCCTTCAGTGGACGTGCTTAAAGTTAATACTGATGCATCATTTTGTAAAGTCTTATGTGAGGCTAGAGGTGGAATGGTTCTGCTTGATCATAGGGGAAAGGTGTTGCGGTTCGCGTCTTTTTTTTTTTCACAGAGTTTTAGATCCATTATTGGCTGAAGGTTTGGTGCTTCGAAAGGTTATGGACCAGGTTATTCATTGGGGTTACAGTCGTATTGTGTTTGAGATTGATGACGAGGTCATTGTCAAGGCTGTGATGTTAGATGGGTCTGCATCTCTTTTACTTAGCCCTCTAGTAGAAGATATCCATGAATGGCTTCATCATCACCTTGATTTTGATTTGGTGTATATGCCTAGAGCAGGGATGAGGTTGCTCATGCAGTTGCTGCTTATGCTTTACAAGAGAAAAGTACATGTTTATGAGATGATAATTTCCCAGAGTTTGTTTTGCATAAAGCTAGTTTGGATGTAACTTTTGATTCTAATTAATAAATATGTTTTCTTGCTTGCGAAAAAAAAAAAAAAAATTCATTACTTTTCTTCTACGCATTTAATTCACTCCAGCCAAACAAGTCTTCATTGGCTGCGTTGGTATTGCAGCCAAAATATATCTTTATATCTCCACCACTAAGTACACTATTTCTTTAGCTTGTGAATTTCTTCTTTGATCGATCTCCTTGACACAGTCATGCAATTTTCTAACTATGACATCATCACACTTCTACTACATGTATGTATATTAGCACACAAACACACCCTTTATTGTTGTGAAACATAATAGGAGTGGCAATACGTGTTCGTGGGTCAGTAATCGTGTTAACTTTAGGGTATCATATTAAATAGCTCAATCTAAATACGACCCGATTAATAATCGTGTCAGGAATTCTCAATACTAACCCGACCTATTTATTAAATGGGTTACACGTATAACCCGTTTAATGACCTATTTATATTATTTAAATTATTAATAATACTCAATAAAATAATAAATACTAAAAAAATATAAATTTTAATCAACCAGATTACTAAATAATTTATAATTTATAAAAGATTAAATTATAATACACGAGTTCATATAGTAATTTTAGAACTTAAATAGGAATTTATTTACAACATATATAGTTAAATATGTATAAACGGATTACACGGGTTGAACTCTATAACCCAAATACGATACGATTAATTAAACGGATTAATTGTGTTGATCCGTTTATAATCTGAACTTGTTTAAAGTTAACCCAAACTAATTTAATTTGTGTCGTGTTCGAATCATGTTGGCAGGCCGTGTCAAATTTTGTCACCCCTAACTATATATGTGTCGAAAAATTTGCAAGTAAATTATAACACGTTAAAAATATAACATATTCAAATTTAATCATACACGAGTCATAACAAAAAAAAGAAAAAAAAAAAGAAGAGTATATCAATTGATATAGAAATCCCAAATACTTTTATTAAAATGAATATTACATCAATTGGAAAAACATGGATATAATAATGAATTTAGAATTTCAATAACACAAATAATTCACCAATATAATATTAACACAATTATATAAATTAAGAAAACCGTTAATAATAAAATAAGTTAGAAAGAATCGGTCTGGGGTCTGGATAATGAGAGACATGCGAGCATTGTCATTAAGTCGTATGACCTCTCGGCATGCAGATAATATCGGTCCAATATGGCTCCTTGATACAACCCATATCTGCCAGTAGACTTCTTCAAGCATGTCCGAAGAGAGATAATATTGTACTAGTCTTATATTCAAAGTTTTCCCAAACCCAACAAAAACTAGGGGAAAAATCACATAACCCTCTACTATCATTTTTGTCCAAAGAAACTCCAACTAAAATTAAACACCCCTGAATGAAAGAAATGTTATCAAGTTATTACATACCCGTAACCGACTGGTTTATTAGATTATGAAATGACAAAATTAATCTTATGATTTAATATTAAATTAAAAACTAATATTTATTGTGAAATTACGGAAATACCCATTATCTTCTTCTTCCTCCCCCTCTCTCAAATTAGACCCATCTCCGAGCCAAACTCCCGTGGGCTTCATCATTCCACAAGTTCCTAATCCAAGCGATCCAGCGGAGATTAAGAAACTGGGAAGGCCCAATACGACTCTCTCTCCTCTTCGAAAGTTTCTCTGCGGGCTCTTTCTTCTCTAACACAGTTGTATTGATCTGTAATTTTGTATTCGTTTAGACGCTCATATATTGTATTGCACATTTTAGCTTTATCTTTATGTATATATATACATATACGTGTGTATATATTTGAGATATATGAGTGTGAATGTAGGGGAAACAAATCAAAATCAGTTGTTGGGTGCTTCTGGAGTGGTAGGTTATCACTGCTCTTTATTTTAGCTTATTCTCGCAACTAGTACAAAATTTTAATAAACATAGAATTATATGAAAAGAGTAGTGTGTATACATGCTGAATACAGAATAATTTTAACCACTAGATCATCATGATAACCTAGTGTACAGACTGCAGCTCCAATTGTAGATGGACCAAACTTTAAAAGCAGCGTCAAAATTAAGTTTCAAAACTCCCACAGGAGGAGAACGCCATCGTAGATTAGGAGGAGGGTCAACTTGAACAGGCATATTAAATCTCAGATTCTGCCTCTGAAGATCAGAGTATTCGTGAAAATCTCTGACAACTCTATCGATCAGCAAGAAGAACATGGTCCAACTTATCAGAATTAAACTCCAAATCATTGCGATGCTTCCACGTACAGGTGCTGATAACAAAGAAAAAGCGTTTCGACCATTGATCATTTCATATATCTATGTTGACGATCGTAGATTAATGTTATAATTATTTATCCAATCAATTCCATTTCGAAATATCCAAAGCTTCCTCATACTGGGTACTGCGATTCTGGGGCCCTGTTGATCGAATTTCTCTTTAGGAAGCCAAATTATTAAATTATTGTGACAAAACTATTTACAGCTCTTAAACATAGGTCAAACAATCAATTACACTGATTATGCCCTTCACTATGAGGATGGTGGAGGATTTTATTTTTCTTTGATGATTAGTTGTTGTGCTGAATTGAATTACACAGAGGTAAATGTTCAAACTGGATTGATGATTAGTTGTTAAATCGGTGAGCTTCTGCATCTGGCCGAGTCAAACTCCGTAAGCTTCTTGAGGCTGTTGATGCAGGTGAAGGAGTGGAGATGGGTCTAATTTTAGAGAGCGGGATAAAAGTTCTAGAGATAGTGAAGAGGAAGAAGAAGATAATGGGTATTTTTATAATTTCACAATAAATATTAATTTTTAATTTAATATTAAATCATAAGGTTAATTTTGTCATTTCACAATATAATAAACGGGTCGGTTATGAGCATGTGGTAACTTGATAACATTTTTTTAGTTCAGGAAGTGTTTAATTTTAGTAGAGATTTTTTTGGACGAAAATGATAACACGGGGTTATGTAATTTTTCCCCTAAAAAATATTGTCATATCTCCCAAAAATATCATATACTAATGGTAGAAAATGGACCAGGATCACCTCCAGTTGCATAATGCAACAATTTCCACCATTTGAAATAAGTGGCTGAGAATGTGCCACATTAATTAAAAAAATTGGGTAACTAATTTTTTACTACTCCTTTAAATATTGTATTTCATATATATATAAACTTTAAATATTGTTTCTAAAATAGGTTACATACGGCTGTCTCCCTTTCTCTCTCTAAAGCTATGCATGGCTCTCTTCCTTTCTCTCTCTAAAAGATACAAAGGAAATAGTACCAATAGCGGTCCAAGGCGAAGAAGAAAAAGTGAAGAACAGCGGTCTAAGGCAAAGAAGAAGAAGTGAAGATTGTAATATTCCCAATTTTAAAAGGATAGTCTAGGTATTTATTTATTTGTTTTAATTGTATTTTTAATTACTTAATTGATTATTTGACTAATTGCTTATGTGTTTAATTGAATTAGGTATTACTTGATCATTTGATTATGTGACTACGTGTTATTTGTATTTGTCTATGTGTTAATTGTTTAATTAAATTATGTGCTTAAATCGTGTTTTGATTAATTATAAATTAAATATTTTCTTTTATTTTATTATTTATTTTATTTTTCTTTTATGGTTTTGGTTAGTAGTAATGGGCCAACCAATTAGATCCCATGGACTACTTGGATAGGAGGTTAGATGGGTATGGATTATTACCCATGGGTAGGTGTGTATGTATATATATAGATATATATTATATACATATATAAAAGGGAAAGTAATTTATTAATTACTTTTATGGTAATTTAGGTAGTAATATTTAATCTGATGTATATGTTTTATATTTAAATAATAAAAATATACATAGATTTGATACGTGTTATATTTTAAGTTACTTTATAATATTATGGTAACTTAAGTATTATTGGATAATCCATTAATAAATAATAGAATGTGTATAATTTATTTATTTAATAAAGATATACATAAATTAT